CTATCCATGAAGATTGCCATGTCATGATTTCCTGTGCTTTCATTTCAAACCACTCTCAATCCACTTCCAAACACTGTAAACTTTGAGCGTTAGTTTTCCTCCTCATTAATTAGTCCCATAATCCCACTCCTCAGGCCCTAGTCTCACTCTGTACCCTTCCACCCTCTCCCAGACTCCCTTCCATTCACTGACTCCTAAATAAATGTACTCTGTTTTATTTCCATAGCATTTGCTCTCAATTAACTGCAAAAGATAGGAAATAACTGATAAGTAATCCTCCATTTAAGTGTCAACTAATAATGCCTTGTCAGGCATTATTACTCCCATTAGCTATTTACATTAATAGAAGAGGAGTACGCGAGCTTCAAACCATTTCGATCAAAAGCATGTACCCAAGGACAAAGTTCAAAAAGGTTGGGAAACAAGGAAGAATAGAAGCAAGAAACACAGGGAGGACATGAGATAAGTGATGTTACATTTGAGGAAATTGCAATCAGTGAGATGAAAGGGAGTGTAAAACTGATGGTCTGTTCTGTAAACCTTCACCCAATCCACAATAAAATGTTTTGGGAAATGAGCACTAGCAGTAAGCTTGCTATCACCATTCTCAACAATTTAGAAACAAAGAAGTATTATTTCTGCTGCCCTTTGGATAACACTATTGAGCATCAGAATCGTACTGCAGAGATACCCGAGAGACAGGAACTGGTCCAAGTTCCCAGAAATCTTTGTTAAATCACAATTTAGTAAGCCCTTGCTTAGATGGGACCACTTGAATTTCTTAAAAATCCATTTTTAAATCATTAGTAGTAGATACTGGTCATGTATTTAAGGCAGAAAGCAGAGAATTTTCAATACTATGGATTCTCCCATTCTGAAATTTGGTCTATGCAACAGACATTTTTTTTTAAATTCCTCATACTTATGTAGCAAAATTACTGATTGGTAAAGTCTTGAAATGAATAGCCACGGTGGGAGAAATTGTTGGAATCAGTATTTCTTTTAATGATATAGGGATTATTGGCCATTCGTTTTCAACTATTTGTAATTGGGGTCTTGAAATAATAGACTCTATTAGAGAAACGGCTCATTCACCCTTGTATAATCTCAGCATATTGAAATGGCACATGTGGACTCATAAATCGTCTGTGTGCACATGGGGGTGATCTATCACTTCAGCCCTTGTTCACTCAGCGCTGGGGGGAGGGAAGGCATGGAAGCAACCCATGATTTCACAGCTTCCATTTACAGGAGGTTGTTGTTGTTGTTTAATATAACCTTCATATTATTTATACTTGCTAGTATTTCATAGAGTCCTGGTGTGGCTCTGTGGGTTAATGCGCCAGACTGCAAAGCTGTTTGAGCTACAAGGTCGGTGGTTCAAGCTCACCAGCTGCTCCCCGGAAACCCAAAACTGGGTCACTATGGGTTGTAACCAACTCGGCGGCACTTCACAACAACTAGTACTTCATGTTAAAATACACTTTCATCATGAGTGGTTTACCAAAATTTTTTATATTTCTTTATCAAAACACTCACAAGTTGTTTGACAAACTCACTTTCAGGCAGTCAAACTGATCATTGACCTGGGCTTGGGGCAGTGGGCCCCAAAGTCTACATAACAGTGCTGAATTTGGCTTAAAGTCTAATAAAGCAAGAAATTATAACCATGTTGAAAATCAAATTAAAGTGTCTCTTAGTGGCATGTTGTTGTTGCTGTTAAGTGTCATCTAGTCAGTTTCGACTCAGAAACCCTGTATAGATAGCAGTTGGTAGGTTTGAACCACCAACCTTGTGGTTCAAAGTCCAGTGCTGATCTGACAGCACCACACTAGAGTCCCTTAGAGACATAGTTCTATGTTTAAAGCAATGACAGTGTAACTTTCTCTTTCTTATTGAAGCTATAATAATGATTCAGTTATTATTTTAAACTACTTTGGAGTGCAGACATTTTATGAAGGACACAGCTCTATCTACTTTGAAGCATCAGTTTTCCAGAACTAATTCTATCTTTTACTATTACAATTATTTTCTTATTCCCACTCTGAATTTGTATGCTGATTCAAATCCCAGTTCACTGGGAATCATATTTTTCTCTATTAAGAGAAATACTTAAGAATATCACAATGCCTGGTGTGGCACCATAAGATAAGCACTTGAACACAAGGTTGGTTTGTACTGCAAGGTCAGCGGTTCAAACTCACCAGCCTCTCCTCAGAAACCCTATACAGGGTCGCCATGAGTCAGAACGGACTCAACAGTGCTAAACCACAAACAACAAATATATATGGGCACTGGGATGGTGCCATAAGATAAGCACTGGATTGCTAATCACACTAGTGCAATGATAGCAGTTCAAACCCACCAGTCAGTCTCAGAAACCCTATATAGGGTCACTATGAGTTTGAACTGACTTAACAGCATATAACAGCATATTGACATTAGTTAAAACTCATGAAAAGAAAATTACTTTTAAATTATTTACACTTAGGGTTCCTTCCATAAGTTTGGGTTTTCTATTTTATTTTCAATAGTTGTTCAGTGTTGTCCTTGGACTAGAAATATCAACATCTGGAAAAGTTTTAGAAATGTAGATTCTCAAACCACATCCCACCCCAACTCCACCTGACTTTCCCCACTAAAAAATTGCAGACTACATTGCTACAAGACTTCTAAGGAAAATGTACATTAAAGTTTGAGATGCCATGCTCTAGATAGTTGTAAATGACATTTTGCAAGACTGAAGAATCAATAAATCTAAACAGGTTACTTAAGAGTCAAAGTAATGTTATATCGACTAACATTTTTCAAGCGTTTGCCATGTTCCAGACTTCATGTTAGCTAGATTTGTTGTTGTTGTTTTGTTTTTATATTATCTCATTTGGGGGGAAAGAATGAGAAAACTCTTTTTCTGAAGATGGAAAAAGTGACTCACCAAAGAAAAAAATTCAGGAACATTCAACATATTTAATATAGCCTGGAAGAAATGGCTAAATCCAGTGTAGAAGGAGACATAATAAGAAAAAGTGTCTTTTACATTTGTGAAGGGTGAAGACTAGAGCAAAGACGATGGCGACAAGAGTATTTTCTCAAAGATCAAAAACTGTTACAGTAATGGATTCAACCAACCAGGAAAGAGCTATTTGGATATGAGATAGCTAATGTACTGGACACATATAATGATTTTTCACTCATCTTTTTACTTTAGAACAATGGATAAAAGACTATGTATGTTTCATGTTTACTTTATATGCAAATGTACATATAAATAATGTGAGTGTGTGTTGCTTCAATTCTTTGCAATGGAGAATTACTATAATCTTTTATATTGGCGTAGAAGCATAGTGATTAATATTTTTATTTAAGGAGCATTCTTAAGTATAAAAGCTAATGCAGAAGACTGAAAGTGTGCTGGAGAATTAGAAGAACTATTTTTTAATCTTGATTCTGCCTGGACACATAGCATAACTGTTGAGTCAAACTCTGTTACCAGGATTGTTGTTACTAATATAGCTCATAGAAAATGGCAACCAAACTTGTTCTTGAGTGAAGGCCTCGAGTGGATGAAGTTCTCTGAAATACCAGTGGGGTGATAATGTTCCTATTGACATTAGATTTTAGACTCTAGCCATCCTTATTCTAGTATGAATTGTTTTCATAAATCGATAGGAGACACTAAACAATTCATTCCCACTACTAGGGGTAGTCCTAGTGTGGTGCTGTGGGATAAAGCTCTGGACCACAAGGTTGGTTTGAAGCACAAGGTCAGGGATTCAAACTCACAAGCCACTCCTAGGAAACTTCAAGCAGGGTCACAATAAGTTGAAACCTACTCAACAGCACTTAACAACATCAATGTCACTGAAAGCCACTACTGTAATTCCACATCTCTGGGGTTGTTGTTGTTAAGTACCGTGGAGTCAATTCCAACTCATGGTGAACCCTGTACAGGGTTTCCGAGGCTGTAAATCTTTACAGAAGAAATCCTCATCTTTCTCCCGAGAAGCGGTTGGTAGTTTCCAACTGCTGACCTGGAGGTTGGCAGCCGATTCGTAACCAATACACTACCATCTCTGGGGCAGTTGGATACTATTATAGGTGAGAATTGTATTGATTCTGTATTACTGCCTAGCAAACCATCCCAAAACTTACCAGCTTAAAACAGCAAAGATTTATTATCTCACAATTTCTGTGTGTCAGGAATCCAGACTTGACTTAGCTAGGTGTCTGTGACACAGGATTTCATGAGGTTGCTGTCTAGTTGCCCCCTACATCTAAATTTAGAGGAGTTGCCATCTCATCTGAATGCTCCAGGGGGATCCTTCCACATGGTCGTTGGCTCAGTTTCATCCTTTGCCACATGAACCTTTGACATGGCAGCTAACATCCCTCAGGGCAAGTGATCCTAGAGTGCAAGCAAGAGAAAGAACATTTAAGATGGTAGCCAGGATCTTTTTATAACATAATCTTGGAAGCTGCACCCCATCACTTCTGCCATATTCTACTTATTAGAAATAAGCCAATTAAGTCCAGCTCATACTCAAGAGGAAGTGATTACACAAGTATGTGAATACCAGGAGGTGGGAATCACTGAAGGTTTAATACAGTTTTTAAAAAATATTTGTTTCCTTCTTGATTCTCCGTATTTTCTAATATGTCTATTTTGGACATATGTCACATGTATAAAAATGAAATAAAACCATTAAAGGCAGTACAAAACTATTAAAGACAAAGCATTCTATTCTCAGAAATCGTGATCAGATGAGTCACTTCTGCTTGGAGTTATCTTAGTAAGTCAATTGAATTGATTGAAGACAGGATTTATTAATGACTTTCCTGACCACATATTAGATCATGTCATTAACCTAACAGGGTTCTGAATAGCTTTCAAATTTTTGCGTTGATGAATTGAAATGGTAAAAACCACTGTTGGTAAGGTAAATACTCCCATCTTTCTCAGTTGCCTAACAGACTTCCTCTTGCTCTGTTCTCTATAACAGTATGCTTGACAGTTCAAGCCGGCTTGATGAAGAACACAGGCTGATTGCCAGGTATGCGGCAAGACTGGCCGCAGAGTCCTCCTCATCTGTAAGTAATTTGAATGAAAGCATCCATCTGCTGGTATCTCATATGTCAAATTCATTGTTATTATTTGTGCTAATTTATTGTTCAATAATGTGTTGCTTTATTTATGATATCTTAGTGATATGTTTCTAGTCTAAAACTGGCATACTTAAAGAACAATGCCATCCATGGTCATGAGGAACTATGATCAAGTTGGAGGCTCCACGTCCCCCTTTACTCGATTCCTGCCCCGATGTGTGAGAAGCGGAGAAAGAGGATGAGGACTAGCTATGGTTCTTTTAATGGAATTAAAGCATGTAGATTTAGGGAATACACTAAGGTTTGAGGCAGAATCCTTTCAAGTAACACAACTTGAAATGATACTACGAGTGATAACAGGGATGATGTCTCTCCATTTGCTGATTTCTCTAAAGCAAGAATAATCTACATGACATCTTGATTGAGAATTCACCTGTGATGGGTGCATCACAAAGGACAATGGGTGGCAGGGGAGCAAGTGAGAAGCTGTGGTCTTCCACTCTCACATCTGATGCTGCTGTTTATCAGCTTATTCTTGCATAGCATTTAGGTCCTGCTCCGGGGACGGGGCACGGACTGTGAAAGGATCCATTGCATTAGCTCAGCATTGCTCCATTCAGGTTACTAACTGTGACACTTTTGGATGCTATCATGATCGAGATGCAGAGGAATCAGAGACAGGCTGAAAGTGCACTTTATGGCCCCAAAGTCGGACACAGTGAAAAGGATATAGTTGGAGTTGATGAAATTTTAAAAGTCATAAGTAAAGATAAAAAGCATGATAGAAGATTAAGTCAAAGTTAACTGGGAGTGTAGAAGAACCAGATTTTAGGAAAAGTGATCCGATTAGGGGATCACCTGAAAGAAAAGTCAAGGCCAAGTTTCTTGCAAAACCTCCTTTCCAAGATTCCCTGTCTTTTTCTATGCACATACCTCTGTAGACAGTGTTATGTAACGAGATTTGAGATTGCTGGTAGGCACTGTCGAGTCCGTTCCCACCCATAGCAATCCATGTACAATAGAACAAACACTGTCCAATCCTGTACCAACCTCACAGTCGTTGCTGTGTTGGAGCCCATTGCTATGTCAAGAGTCTTGACCAGCAGTGTGAATTTGTGAGTTCAAGTCCCAGGTCTCCATAAACTCATGAAGAGCATCACCTTTAGAGTTCATTTTCTTCATTTCTAAATAGGAATAATTATAATTATAATTTACTATACTTGCCAATCCACCTGTTATGAGGGTCAAATGATATAAAATATATAAAAGTGCAGCATAAACCAGAGGTCACAAAATAGCAGCCTATATATCAAAATTGTCACACAGAAAAATTTGGGGGCCTCTACAGTGTTTTGCATTTTTGCATTAACTGTCAGCATTTATAAATCAGGTGATTTCTTTAAAACTGGATTTTCACCTTAATAGCAAGACCAAGACCAAGTCATCATTCCACATGGCAATCATCAGCACTTGGGCTGCCTCCCTGTTCCCCCTTTGACATTTGGATTTGCTAGCTCTTGTCTGACTGCTGTGTTCATGTCACTATCTATGTGTACCTCAGCTTCTCCAGTCTCTGCTTCCATTTCTTTCTCAAGGGCATTAATTTCTTGTGTTCCTGCCTACTTATATATAACTTCTGTGGATTCATCATAGGGGAGAAACCATCCACACATTCATTGGAGATCCTTTGTAAATCTCTTTATAATGACACATTAAGAATGATATAATAAACTTAATAAATCATTGTTGTTGTTGTTGTTATGTGCTGTGGAGTCGGTTCCGATTCATAGCAACCCTGTACAGGGCTTCTGAGGCTGTAAGTCTTTACGTGAGCAGAAAGTCTCATCTTTCTCCTGTGGAACAGCTGGTAGTTTCAAACTGCTGACCTTGCGGTTCACAGACTGATTCGTAACCACTATGCTACCAGAGCCCCTTAATTAGTAAAATGTCCAATTAGAAAACAGATGGAAATGTCATTTAGTTGGACCCATGTCTTTCTCTTTTTGATGGACATCTCTGTATCTTTCCACTGAGTTCTTCTACTCAACCATTTCATTTCCTATAACATCCTATATTGCCACATTTAAATCTCTCTGCCCTATGGTTGAGTTATTTCCACCCAGTACTTCTCCGTCCCCACTCAATCTGCCAGCAGCCATCAAGTCAAATCTACCTTAATAAGTCAGCTCAAATGTCATCTTCCCATCATTTCCTCATTCATTACCTTAATAATATAACCATGTTTCCTCTGTGCACCTATTAAATCAGGTACAGTAAAACCTGAGAAAGCCAGAACCCGTGTATGGCAGAAGTCTGTCAGAGAAGGAAAATCCAAATATTTGCCACTGAAACAAGTGATTGGAAAATGGAAAGAGTGCACTGTGTCCAAGGTGGAAAGTTTGTAAGACCTGGAAAAATAAGCAATTCCTTCCAATTCTAACTCTCACACATTTCACTGTACATACTTTACCCATAGTAGTTATTGTGCCCTTTATAGCTGTCTGTAAAATCCTTCAGGAAAAGAACTGTATCTTTTTAACTATACCTACCACAGTACCAATAACATTAAAACACAAAATCAGCCCATTGTCATGAAGCCAATTCTGACTCGTAACCACTCTATACAGGGTGCCGAGACTGGAAATCTTTCCAGGAACAGACAGCCTCATCTGTCTTCCTCAGAACAACTGGTAGAGCTGAACCACCACCAACTTCATGGTTAGCAGCCTCACCTAACCTACAACATCACCAGGGTGCACCTGGTATATAAAAAGTGCTAAATTTTAAAACTGTGCTGAATGGAAGATTGAATGACTCAATACATTTATTTGAAAAAAGCCTAAAAGGTAAAAAAAGGAGCTCTGGTAGCATAATGGTTATGAGTCAGGCTGCTAACCTCAAGGTCAGCAGTTTGAAGTTACCAGCCCTTCCACAGGAAAAAGATGAGGCTTTCTGCTCCTGTAAAAATTTACAGCCTCAGAAACCCTACACAGGGTCGCTGTGAGTCCGAACCAACCCCACTAAGTTCACTACCACTCACCACCACCAAAAGGTAAGAAAGTTTGGCCTAAATTAAAACAGTACAGTGTCCTCAAGTTCAAGACTTGAGTCTGAAATGTTTCATACAATAAAATAACCAGTGAATTCAGTGGAAATTTTAATTGATTAAATTGTTAATAAGATCTAATCAGAAAGTCAGATCCATTCTTTGAAAAAAAATATTAAAAAATCTCCATAACTTATAATTACAAAAATGTTGTAAACCTTTAACAGCCATGGTGGTGTTGTTCTTATGTGCTGCGGATTCGGTTTTGACTCCTAGTGACCCTATATATAGGGTTTCTGAGGCTGTGAATCTTTTATGGGAGCCAAAAGCCTCGTCGTTCTCCTGTAGAGCAGCAGACCCTGTGGTCACAATTCAGTGCTGATCCTGTGGATTCACTGCGCTATAAAACAGCCATAGCCTATGGAGGTCCCTGGGACCATCAAGGGAGAAGAGCAGAGAGCGGGACCCTACCCAGAGAAGCAGTGACACCAGAGATGGAGGCAGAGACCATGACGAGGAGATGGAGTGGCTGGGGACTTTAGATTCAGAAAGGGAGAGGAGCTGTGTGCTGACAACCAGGGGGCAGGCTTGTACTGTATACCCTTTGGTTGGTTGATGATGCATGCAGGGGATTGCAACCATGGCAATGAAATGAGGTACCATAGGATGAATGTAAAGCTAATGTTCTCCCATGTAAACTATCACATAATTCATAATAAAACATTTAAAAACAAAACAAAAAAAGCCATAAAAAGATATAATGTTGGATTTCTTAAAGATCAAAAATTGAGACATGGTTGCATAAAAATTAGTGACCCCTGGGCCACTGTGACCCTGCCCAGAAATGGGGGGTAGGAAGGGGATAGGAAATCCACACAATACATTTTGTGCATGATGATCTGTCTTTTATAAGTGAGTGTCTTGTTCACTCTCTCTGGCTGTGCCATCTCTATTTGTCTCTATGTCATCAATTCAATAGATTACTCATAATTGTTGTTGTTAAGTGCTATCATTTATTATTTATTGTCTTTATTGACTACATTTAAATCCTTATCCATAATTTTTCAAAAACAAGTCTTTGTTGTTATTGTTAAGTATTAAGTACTTTGGAGTTGGTTCTGACTCATAGCAACCCTATGTAGAATTCCTAAGGAGTGGCTGGTAGGTTTGAACTGCTGACATTGTATATAGCAGTCCAGTGTTTATCCTACAGTGCCGTACTAAGGACTCCAAAACCAAATTAGATTCTGTCTATTTTCAGTCTCCAAAGAAATGCATTCTTTCTTATGTTTATGATTTGGTGTAGGTTTTCCCCTTTTGTTGGCATCTATCAATTAAAATACAAAATAAATAAAATAAACTTCTTAACCCTTGATGGGTCAACAAACTATATCGGGCCAACTCCAGCCCATTTTTGTGTGACCCATGAACTAAGAATGCTTTTTACATTTTGTCATGCAACAAATCATATGCTTTGTTTCCTCTCAACAATTGCAATCCCCTCCATGTAACATTTATCCCTCTTCTTCCCTGTGGTTCTTATTTTCATTCCAACCTCCTTCCCAACCCTTCTGAACTTTGTCTGTAGGTAAATGTTGCCTTTTTTGATCTTGAATGGTTGACCATTCCTTGGTGAGCATACCTCACTAGTGTTGTAGGTCCCCTAAAATACCTATCTACCACTTGGTTGAAAATTGGGCCACAGGGATGAGTTCCATTCCAGACCTGAAGGGTAGCCCGAGAGTCATAGTCTCAGGCTACTTCAGTCTCTTTCTGGCCAGTAAGCCCTGACTTTTTTATAGTTTTGAGTTTTGTTCCTCTTTGTCTCCCACTCTATCTGGGACCTTCTAATCTGATCCCTTTCAGAGCAGTTGGTAGTGGTAGCTGGGCACCATCTACCTCTTCTGGTATCAGAGTCATGGAGTCTGATGTTCATATGTCCATTAGTCAATTGGATTAGTGGATACCAAGCATCTTCCATTTTCCTCATTCTTCTTTCTTCCTCACATGGAGAAATCAATAGTTGCGTCTTAGATAGCCACTCATGAGCTTTTCAGATCCCAGTCACTACTTACCAAAGTAGGATGTAGAACATGTCTTTGGGAATGATTTACTGATTGAAAAAGAAAAAAATCAGAGGGGAAATAAAATTTGGGACACATTAAATTTAAATGTCATTGTCTATAAGTAAACTTTTTTGAAACACATACATTGTCATTTACTTCCATTTTGTTTACAACTATCTTTGTGCTGTTGCATCTGAGTAGTTATTACTAAAGGTTCAAATTCACAACTGTATTGAAAAGGTTCTACTTCTTACCAATACATAAAAAGTATGCATGAAAGAAGGCATACAACTGGTGAAATGGTTAAATGATCAGCTGCCAACTAAACATCAGTAGTTCAAATCCACCAGAAGCTCCACAAGAGAAAAGACCTGGTCATCTGCTCCCGTGAAGTTTATGGTTTTGAAAACCATATGGAGTCGCTCTACTTGGTCACGTGGGGCTGCTATGAGTCCAAATCAGCATGATAATAATTAACAACAACATACATGAAAGAGAAAATGATGTTATGAAACACAAAGAAAACCCTACGTCATAGGTCAAAGCTGTCATATCTACACACGATATAAAAAGTCATTTAAGATACAAAATATAGGAGCTAAAGTTCTTCATTAGCAATATAAGCTATTTCTTGATTAAAATAATTATTAATTAAAAATCACAGAAATATTATACACAGGGGCTTCAAAATGTTCATGAAAAAATAAAGTTAAACGATAGTAGAATTTTTCCAGAGACTTTTTGAAGCCCTCTCATATGAAAAGCAGGCCTTTTCAACCCTAACCTTTGCTTCAATTAAATTTCTGAACATTACAGAACAGGCTTTGTTTCTCTATGTCTTTTGACTTGGGCAATAGGTTCCATATTTATATCTTGGCTTTTTTTGGATAGCAAGATTGTGACTTTTTTCATTTGTTTTAAGAACAATAAACATTGACTTGGAGGAATGTCCATTGTGCACTATAGAAATATAGAAAGAAGGTCACAGAAATGTGTGTAGAATCTGACTACATTTTTATAAAATGTAGTACAAAAAATTTTGACTGGATATACACACACACGTATGTGTGTGTATGTATACAATACGATTAATGATATATGATTATTGTTGTTGTTAAGTACTGTGGAGTTGGTTTCGACTCATAGTGACCCTGCAAAGGGTTTCCAAGGCTGCAAATCTTTACGGAAGCAGAAAGCCTCATTTTTCTCACACAGAACAACTGGTATTTTCAAACTGTTGACCTTGAGGTTAGCAGCCCGATTTGCAACCACTGTACTACCAGATACATATATTAAAGGAGAATGGAGAAAACTATGGCTGCAAATATGAAGATAAGTCAAAAAGTCTTGCTGCTAGGATTCTCCCAAACACATCAGTCAGTTTGCTACACTGTGATGGCTTCTGTGTTGTTATGATGCTAAAAGCTATGCCACCAGTTTTTCAAATACCAGCATGATCAACTGTGGTGAATAGGCTTCCGCTATGCTTCCAGACAAAGACACACTGTGCAGATAATTGATAATTACTGGTGATTGGAATTCAGTGGTTAGAAAGAAAAAAAAAAAAAAGAACGATCCGTCGTTGGAAAAACATGATAGAAATGATATTGGGAATCACATGATAGAATTTTGCAAGACCAAAGAATTATTTATTGCAAATACCTTTTTTAAGCAGCATAAAAGACAACTATACTCATGGACCTCACCAGATGGAATATACAGACATCAAATTGACTATATCTATGAAAATAGACTGTGGAAAACCTCAATATTATCAGCCAAAACAAGGCCAGGGGAAGACTGTGGAACAGACCATCAATTGCTCATATGCAAGTTTAAGCTGAAATTGAAGAAAATTAAAACAAGTCCACCAGAGCCAAAATATGACCTTGAACATATCCCACCTGACCATCTCAAGAACACATTTGATGTGTCAGACACAAATAACCAAAGACCAGAAAAGCTGTGGGATGACATTAAGAACATCATACAAGAAGAAAGCATTATAAAGACAGCAAAGAAAGAAAAGACCAAAATAGATAAGACTCTGAAACTTACTCTCCAGCACATAGGTGCTAAAGTGACTGGAAGAAATGAGGAAGTCAAAGAGCTGAGCAGAAGATTTCTAAGGATAGCTTGAGAAGGCAAAGTGGGGTATTAAAATGAAATGTGCAAAGACCTGGAGTTAGAACACCAAAATGGAAGAACACATCAGTATTTCTCAAGGTAAAATAACTAAAGAAACAAATTCAATCCTCGATTTGAAACATAGGAGGATTCTATGGGCAAAATATTGACTGATGGAAAAAACATCAAAACAAGATGGAAGGAATACACAGAGTCACTGTACCAAAAAGAAATGGTTGATGTTCAACTATTTCAAGAGACAGCATATGATCAAGAACTGATGATACTCAAGGAAGAAGTCCAAGCTGAAGGCATTGGCAAAAAACAAGGCTCCAGGAATTGATGGAATACAAATCTTTCAATCAACTGATGAAGTCCTAGAGGTGCTCACTCATCTATGCCAAGAAATTTGTAAGACAACTACCTAGCCAACTGATTGGAAGAGTTCCATATTTGTGCCTATTCCAGAGAGGTGACTCAATGGAATGTGGAAACCATTGAACAGTATCATTTAATATCATATGCAAGTAAAATTTTTCAGAAAGCAATTAAAAAATGGTTGTAACAGTACATCAACAAGAAACTGCCAGAAATTAAAACCAAATTCAAAAGAGGACATGTAATGAGGGATATCATTGCTGATGTTAGATGGACCTTGGCTGAAAGCAGAGAATACCAGAACGATGTTTACTTGTGCCTTATTGGCTATGCAAATGCTCTCAACTGTGTGGATCATGACAAGCTATGGATAACATTGCAAAGACTACATATTCCAGAAAAGTTAATTTACGATTTTGTAATTAACTTTTTGGCTTACCTTTGTACCCTTAGAGCTGACTGCATGACTAAGCATGATGGATTACATATGAATTACATATGAATGAAGAAATGCACAAAAATATGTTGACCAAAAAAAGAAAAGAAAATCTTACTAACTGTAACTTAACACCTATGGTATTTTAAGTGAAGTATTATACTAACTGAATAGTAATTCTAGAGAAAGATTTTTCTCAATAGAAAAAAAAAATTTTTTTTCAAACCCAGCTATAAGGAAGAGAACAATTCCATCCAACCAGACAGAAATAAAACAGCTTCCCAAAGACTTCAAGTCAGAAAACTGAAAAATAACTTTTCCTATGCTTTGTGTAAGGAGCTCTGGCAGTGTAGTGGTTACAAATCAGGTTGCAAACCTCAAGGTCAGCAGTTCGAAACTACCAGCTGTTCCTTGGGAGAAAGATGAGGCTTTTTGCTCCTATAAAGATTTACAGCCTCAGAAACCCTGTACAGGGTTGCTATGAGTGGGAACCGACTCTAGGACACATCACTACCACCACCATGCTTTGTGTATTTGCCTGCCAAAGACTTCTGTTCTGCTTTCCTTGGTCTATATGTGCTCCAGATCTGCAGCAATGGCCATTCTTGAGAGTGGTGATTTGATTTTACGTTGTTTGGGAAGGAATGGTTACCTTTCTTTGTCTGCGTATCTCATGATTCTTGTCTTCCCAAACACACATGGTGCACATTCCCCAATATTAAATAGTGTAAACTACATCTCTTACAGCAGCCAAGTCAGCAGAGAAATGCGCCTGACATCTCCTTCACCATCGATGCAAATAAGCAACAAAGGCAGCTGATTGCAGAACTAGAAAACAAGAACAGGTAAGACTTTTTAGACATGCTAGCTTTCTAAATCAGAACGTGTAGTCCTGAATGGAGCAAATGGTTAACATGCTCAACTACTAACCAAAAGCGTGATGATCCATGTCCACTTAGCAGTACTTCAAAAGACAGGTCTGGGAATCTCCATGGGAGCTTCAATAAGTTTGTGGAAAACAGAATTAAAAGATAGCGGAATTTTTCCAAGAACTTTTTGAAGTACCTCCTACTTCTGAAAACTCTGCCATTGAAAAGCCTATAGAGTACACCTCTACTGTGGCTCATGTGGGATCTCCAGGCAGCAGAATTGAAATGACAGCAGCTGTTAACTGTGGTGGTGGTGGTAGTTGTGTGCCGTCGAGTCTGTTCCAACTCATAACTGTAAATCTATATAAGAGCAGAAGTCATCTTTCTCCTGCAGGGTAACCAGTAGATTCGAACTGCTGACCTTGGGGTTACCAGCCTTACTTGTAACCACTAAACTACAAGAGCTCCTTATAGCTAGTGTCTCATTAATAACTTCTTCTTGTTATTGTTGATAAGTACCTCTGAGTTGATTCCAACTCATAAGGACCCTATAAAAGGTATCTGGGACTTCAAATCTTTTCAGGAGCAGAAATCCTCATCTTTCTCCTGCAGAATGACTGGTGGGTTCAAACTGCCAACCTTATGGTTCTCAGTTCCATGCTTATACTACAGAGCCAACACCCTCCACCCTGATAACCTATTGTTATTGTTGTTAAGTGCCATCAAGTCAGTTCTGACTCATAGCGACCCCGTATAGGATTTATCACCAGCAGCTGGTGAATTTGAGCCAACTTTGTGGTTCAAACTGATCTTGTGGTCCAGTGCATTATCCCACAGTGCCACACCAGGACTCCAAAGTAAGAAGTGGTTGTTGTTTTTGTTCTTAAATGCCATTGAGTGGGTTCTTACTCATAGTGACCCTGTATAGGGTTTCCAAGGAGCAGCTGATGAGCTTGAACCACTGATCTTGCATTTCAAATTGACCTTGCAGTCCAGAGCATTAACCCACAGAGTCACACCAGGACTCCAAATAAGAGGTTCAAGGTGGAGAATAAAGCATAGAATGTCAAGACTAAGGAGAGTCATTTTTACAATAACAAAAAAAGGAAGTCAAGCTTGGCCTGCATTTCCACAAGTTTCAGGATCAACCCTAAATGTTCCCTTAGATGGAGAAGACAAAGCTGAAACTCGCCATGTCAACCCTACTCTTCTACCTCACTGGAGAACTTTGTTTTGCCTCCCAGTCCTCGGCTTCCACTCAAACATAGGGTAGAGCCCATAAGTGAAAATCAGGACTTCACCATGTGCATCTATTTCTAATTGCAAAACAAACAGAAAGGGCCGTGAATGTACTGGCTGCTCGGGCTGTGCCATGGTACCACAATTACTTCTTTTCCTGGACATTTTGGGATTGTGCTTTCTGGTCATTTTTAGCACCAGAGAACAAAAAAATAATCGGATGAGAAGCTGTGCCAGAAGGAGAGTGTCATCCTATCTCTGAATTCATTTGTGGCCCTCGGGTTCCCCATCTCATCCTGATGAGCATCTACTCCATGCTGAACTCTTCTGTAAGCTGGCAGCTGCATGCTCTCCAAGGAACCCACAGCCACATCCCAAAAGCTCCCTACACCATGGAAACTCACTTTCTGGGCTCCATGATCTCCAGGATGATAATTAACCCAATAATCAAATCTCTGAGCTTAAGGGGAGGACTGAGCTCCTCACAGCCATGTCAGGCCTCAGTCTACCTAGGTATTCACAGACATTTCAGCAATAACCTTTAGAAGATAAGGCTTCCTTATCAGCCCAGGGCTGCTAACCACAAGGTCGGCAGTTCAAATCCACCAGCTGCTCTTTGGAAACTCTATACAGGGTTGCTATAAGTTGGAACTGACTCAATGACATTTAATAACAATAGCACCCATGAAGAAATTCTTGAAAACTTGGAGGAACACATCAGAGTTATTAGGAGTAGCAAAGCTCTTCAAATTACACTGTACAAGCCACAGCCTGCCTAGGCCATTACTGTCAGAGCAAAGACCGAGGTAAGCTGATATATACAGGCTGCAGAGTTAGCCAGCCTGGTTCAAACCATCTCTACCGCTTACTTGTTGGACTTGGGCAAGTGATTTAACTTGTCTGTACCATGCTTTCCTCACCCATGAAATAGAGATAATATTAATATCCTACATGTAATAGAAAAGTCCTGATGTGGCGCTGTGGGCTAATGCGCTGAACTGCAAAGTTGTTTGAACCACAAGGCCAGTGGTTCAAGCTCACCAGCTGCTCCTTGGAAACCCTATACAGGGTCACTATGGGTTGGAGCTGACTTGACGGCACTTAACAACAACATGTAATAGAATTATTGGTGCAATGATTCAATAAAATAAGATTCAATAAGACAGCTCAGATTCTGGGTAGTGACTAAGCATCCAAAGCATGGTACATCTCTTATCGTTACTTTTTCTGACCAAAACTACTTCTCTCTTTGTTGCTTTGAGCTAAATCTGTCATGGTTCTGTCCTTAGAGTCGACAAGAACTAGCAGGAGTCAGAGACTATCAGGATGCTAGCCCTGCACACTGGCTTTCAGGCTGAGATCTTTGGAGTTCTGGGGGCCTTTAGTGGTGCCTCATAGAGAATATTAAAGAAGGGGGAGAAGAGTTAGAAGCAGCACAGGGGCCTACCCCTTCTTTAGCCAGAGCAGTTCCCTCTTTTCCATGGAATATTTCTTTTGTAGGAAGGTTTCCAACATATAACACCAAGGGAGTAAAATTAAAAAGGGGGCAGGAGTTAGGGCCTGAAAGCCTTCTCGTCAGACCCATAGTAAGTGTAATGAATGACTTATTGGCAGTTAGCCTTCTGAGTGGTGCCAATTAGTGAAGTAGGCGATTATAAATCAGCCTTTCAAGTGGACAGCCAGCCATTCCCCCTGGCATTCCCAGCCTACCTTTCATCCCAGGTTCTTTGTTCTGTCTTAGTTGGCTCTTGTGCATTTTACTGGAGACTGACACTCCACACATGCACACACACAAGAATAAGTGACTTGTAACCTTGCTTAATGGCTCCTGAGTCACTCAGGGATAATTTGCCTGGCCCAGGTCACATCCCTTTGTGGCCAGCTTGATGTTCACCAAGGGGTAGTGCATCCCAGACCATCATCAGTAATAGACTGACATGCCTCACCCGAGACAGGTCATTCCAATAGTGCTCTGTGTTACAAACTCAATTACAGGGCTCCTTTTAAAATCACTTTCCTTGTAAGGGTACCCTCATTGACATCCATAGTTAAGACTGAAAATGTTGAGCTAAAAGAGAAAGGAGTTTTGCCTAACTAGAGGATTCTCAGATAAATTCTGGGAAAGGAATTTCATTCTTGAAATGGAGTTATTTAGTTTGGGGAAATGAGTGTCATTTATCCTTATTTTCCCTCAAAGCACCTCTTTACTCAGTAGGTGCAGGTATTTTATTGTGTCAGAGTATGAACATAAATTACAGGAACATACATTTTTATCTCCTACAAAGTGTACTCTTCTAAGAGGAACACGTTACCATAGCATTACAGTACTTAGTTATACTATTATTATATCAAAAAACAAGAAAAGAAAACCACTGCCATCAAATTCATGCCTACTTATAGCAACCCTATAGGACAGAGTAGAACTTCCCCTTAGGGGTTCCTTATGGAAACACACTACTACATCTTTTTCCCATGGAGCAGCTAGTGGGTTCAAACCACTGACCTGTCAATTAGCAGTTGAGTACTTTAACTACTTCAACACTAAGGCTTCTGTTACTAGCTATGTTGTTGTTGCTAAGTGACATCAAGTTGATTCCAACTCATAGTGACCCTGTATAGGGTTTCCAAGGAGCAGCTGGTGGGTTTGAACCACCGACCTTGCAATTCGCAGTCCAGTTACTCATCCTGCACTAGGATCCTATTGTTGTTGATAAGTGCCATCAAGTCGTTTCAGACTCATAGTGACCCCGTATAGGGTTTCCAAGGAGTGGCTTGTGAATTTGAACCACCAACCTTACAGTTCACGAGTGTTTATCCTATAGTACCATACCAGGACCCCATAGAGACACAAAAACATCTCACGGTAACCCATGTGTTATAGAGTAGAATTCTACTCTATCGTTTTAATTCAAGCAGATCTCCAGCCTTTCTTTAAGTCACCTGTGGGTGGTTCAAACCATTAACCTCTCAGATAGTAACCTCGCCCTTAGCCATTTGTGCCCTTCTAGGAGTTCTGATGTGGCACTGTGGGTTAATGCGCTGGACTGCAAAGTTGGTTTGAACCACAAAGTCAGCAGTTCAAGCTCACCAGCCGCTCCTCAGATTCCCTATACAGGGTTGTTATAGGTCAGAATCAACTCAACAGCACTTAACAACAACAGAGACTGGATACTGGAAATAATTCTCAGCTTGGTGCACACTTCAGAACCTTTATGGTTTGTACGTACTGGAGAGTATACGCGTAGCATCAAATAGCCACCATCGCAAACACAATGAGTCTGTTGGTTAGTGAAGGTCGATTCTACCCTTAAACATAGGACGAGCCCTTCTTTCCCTAGTGGCCCTGATCTGCTCTAATGTCAGTATCTAAAGTGAACTGACCCTGGCTTTTCCCTTCCTCTCTTTCCTAAGAGAAATCTTACAGGAGATACAAAGGCTGCGGCTAGAGCATGAACAGGCTTCTCAGCCCACCCCAGAGAAGGCCCAACAAAATCCTACGCTGCTGGCAGAACTCCGCCTCCTCAGGTAAGAGAGGTGACCCAGGTAACCCCAGGGAGTAAGTGTGTCTGAGACCTTTAATAAAACCCAACACTGTCTAGCCAGTCAATGGTCCTTAGCCACCATAAGCTGCTCATGTTTGCTTGCTTCTCTTTATTTATTCCTGTGTGCCATGTATTGCCCTGGGTGCTTTGCTCACACTGCTGTATTTAATGTGTACTGCTATCTTTCTCAAACGAATTTATTATTTTTTTTTTAATGTTTTTCCTATCACCCAAATTAACATGTATCTGGTAGAGTAGTGGTTACGAATTGGGCTGCGAGCCGCAAGTTCAGCAGTTCAAAACTACCAGCTGTTCCACAGGAGAAAGATGAGGCTTTCTGCTCCCATAAAGATTTACAGCCTTGGAAACCCTGTACAGGGCCGCTATGAGTCGGAACCGACTCCACGTCACATAACAATAACAACAACATACTCTAGGCAGTATTCCCTCCCACCCCTGGCAATCATCATAGAATGTTTATTATAGCCTGAAAACCTTTTCTTGACTTTTTACAGTAGTTGTTGTTGTTGTTAAGTGCTGTCAAGTCAGTTCTGACCCATAGCAACCCTGTATAGGGTTTCTGAGGAGCGACTGGTGAGCTTGAACTGCCAATCTTGTGGTCTTATACAATATCTGTCCCTTTGTGACTGACTAATTTCACCCAGCATAACGTCCTCCAGGGTCCTCCGTTGTATGCAGTGTTTGCAGATTCATGTTGTTCTTAATTGTCACAAATATTCCACTGCGCATGCTTTCATTTTTAAGCCCACACATAGAGTGGCTGTGACTTGGAGGAAGAGTCTTTATATTTTATTCTTTCCTTTGGTACAGAGGAAAGGCAACAGTGATTTCTAAACAATAAACAAAATCTTTCACTGGGAAAATCTTTAACACAGTTCACATTCTTTATTTGCACTATCTTCACTAGATTTAGGATACACATGATCAACAAAACCAGCACCTAAAAAGCTAAGACATTTTTTACTAGTCATTAAAAACCATCACGTGTTTAATTTTACAATGTACCTTAATAAAGGAATCTGTTTATTTCTTAATCTTTGTGTCTAATAATTCTATATGCCAATCTTTAAAAATAAGCTTCACATCTTGTTTTTCTGCAAAGGTATTAAAAAGTCAGCATTTCAACCTCACCAGCTGCTCCTTGGAGACTTTATACAGAGTCGCTATGAGTCAGAACTGACTCGGCAACACTTAACAACAACAACAAAATGCTATGTAAGGAGCCCTGGAGGTGTAATGGTTAAGCACACAGCACCAACGGAAAGGTCAGTGGTTCAAATCCACCAACCGTTCCACAGGAGAAAAGACCCGCAATCTACTCCCTTTAAGATTTCAGCCTAGAAAACCATAGAGGGAAGTTGTACTCTGTCATAAGGTCACTGTGAATTGGAACCAACTTGACTGCATACAACTACAGTATTGTCCAGCCTATAGCCATAAAAGATTTAAGTTGGAATGGACCTTAGAAGATGGTTTGGTTCAACCCATGAATTTCGATGTGTTTCTCAGTCAGAGAGCACAGAAGTAGCACGACTTAAATAAAGACTGTACTTCTTCCCACTGCATGCATATTGCAAAATGTAAGTCTCGTGTGGGCTTGATGTCAGACTGACTTATCCCATGCCTTGAATATGACAGACTCTCAAATGTATTTGTCTAGTTAATAACCCATATATTTTCATTCATGCATGCATATAGGCATGTACTAATTAAACAATTATTTATTGAAAACTTACTAAATACTAAACAGTATTCTACTGTAGCACTGTAGGATCAGCACTAAACTTTGAACAACCCATGTTCCCAGAATCTCCCCTCCTGTATTGGATGCCATCTCCAAGCGAAATTTTTCAGGGTGATCATCTCTCACAGATAGAGCTGGCCTTCTCCTCAGTTATACCCTATATTGCATCTTCTTGTCTTTATTACATGTTCACCTTCATTGCTTTGAACTTAAGTCGCCTTGTCCCTTACCTGAGGACAAGAACGCTACCCAATTCATTATTTGCTTCTAGTATCTTAAAATATAACAGAACTAAACAGATGTTTCTGGGATGATTGGATGAACTGTAAAGCTAGAGACAAGTGTTATTAAGACAGCTAAAGAACTGTATCTGCAAAGAGAATACCATCTGTTATAATGATGAAAACATTTACTGAAACTGGGAAACAACTAACCTCACACTAGAAATCTAAAGGAAAAACAAGTACAATTTTCCATAGCTAGTCCTGGTGTGGCACTATAGGAGATGCACTGGACTACTAAAACAAAGTCAGCTGTTCAAACCCACCAACCACTCCTGAGACTCACTCCTATACAGGGTAGCTATGAGTTAGAACTGCCTCAATGGAACTTGCCAACAGCATTCCTTGTTTAAGAACTAGGCATCATATTCTATAGAAGACAACATTTTTATCAATGCATCTAAAATTATTTGAGAAAACTTGTAAATATAGTTATTTTTTTGTTTTTCTCAAGTAAAAATAAAATTGTAACCTGTGCTGCATGCCTGTGTTTTCCAGACTTTGAATTTCATAGACAAGTTTTTTTTATTATTATTTTAAGAAATAACATAAAATAGAGTACTTAATTTTTGCCATACAATGACATTTTTTAAAAATATCACCTGTTTTATAAATGACAGTATATATTTTAAGTTTTTATTTTTAAAAAAATTTCAGGCGTACCAAAAAGTTGTAAAATAATGCAATGAATTTCTTTCTACCTTTCATCTAGTGAGTCACATTTTTCCACATCCTTCTTTATTTCTATAAAGTGTCTATATATGCAAATTGCATCTATATTTTTGTTGAACCATTTCAGAATAAGTTGCAGATCTCATTACTCTTCACTCCTAAATATTTTAGCAAATTTTTTAAGAATAAAAATATTCTTTCATATGTTGTTATTAAGTGCTGTCATTTCAGTTCTAACTCATAGGAATCCTATTTAGGGTTTCCAAGGAGTATCTGGTGGGTTTGAACCGCCAAACCACCAATCTTTTGATTCACAGTCCAGTGCTTATCCTAGAGCTCCACACCAGGAGTTCCTTCTCTTATATTGTGTTGTTGTCAAGTGCCATCAGTTGGTTCCAGTTTATAGCATCCCTGTATAGTGCTTGCAAGGAGTAACTGGTGAGTTTGAACTGCTGGCCTTGGAGTTAAAAATGACCTTGTGATCCAGTGCTTACCCTACAGCACAACACATAGTCATGTAAAAAACAAAACAATACAAGAAAACAATTGCCATTGAATCAATTCAACTCATAACAACCCCATGAGCTTCAGAATAGAACTGTAGTCCATGGGCTTCCAAGACTATGCCCTGTTAAAAGTAGATCATCATGTCTTTCTTGAGCTGGTGCCATTATCTGATTCAGTAGAGTAAACATTTATGTAGAGTATTATTTCATTTATAGTTCTTATTCAAATGTTCCCACTCTCCCAACACGTTCCTAAGAGAAAGTATTTTAACACGCATACAAAAGTATCAATAATCTCAGAATAAAAGGCATTCTTTTAAAGATGAGTAAATTTAGCTTTATTAAAAGAAAAAAAAAATTACTACTTAATCCTTGTTTGCTTATTTCTCCTTGAAGCAGTGGCAGCTACTTTCCAGACTGGTTTTCAAATCCACATTTGATCATCACTGGTGTAAACACAAGACGCAATAAAAACATTGTTAAATAAATATGTTTGTTTTTTAATTGTATTCAATCAAATGCATGGAAGAATAAATGTCATGTTTTAAGAAATTAAGACTGTAGTATAAATGCATAAATAATATTTCTTAAATATTAAACAATTCCAAATTAACACTGAAAATGAAAAAGACACCAGACGTAATGAATTGCAAGAGCAATGGCCTCAAACGTAACAACAATTGTGAGGTTGGTGCAGGACTGGGCAGTGTTTTGTTCTGTTGTACATACAGTTTCTATAAACAGCATCCAACAACTTTCCATGGCAATTTTTAAATGCCTCTTTTACTATTTTTTGCTATTAGAACTTTGCTACAATCTTCCTCGTAAAGTGTGTCAGTGGCCAAGAGGACAAAGACTATTGCACAAATCTAGAAGAGTACTGGAAAAAAATCAGAGACATTTTCTACTCTTGTACCATAACAGAGACAAGGTCAAGGAGAAAAACAGCTAATGGATTTGTCACTGAAAAATAATTCTTGAATGGGGCAAGACTTTCAAAGCTAAAATGTTTTCTAGCAGGAGATAAAGTAAGATACAGTTAGAACATATAACATGGTGATTCTCCTCATCCTCTGGATTCAGAAAAGAGGTAATTGTAGAAGGAGCACTTTGTCCAACGTGAGCTGAAAATATGACTATATTACAAAAGGTTGATGCATTTATCAATTTAAATTTCATGATTATTTGTAGAGAAAGCCTAGATGAGAGCAGATCAGAAATGGTTTATTTATAAGAGGACTGGAAAAACGTTCTGCTTTCCATGAATTTATTGAACCCCCTCGTGTATTCCTATACCACCCTCCCAGAGTATCTTTCAGTTGGATGTCACTGACCTGAGTCAGTCTGACTTTTCTATATTGTCCCTTTTTCATTTCACAGTCCCCATGATAGCGCCACTTAATATTGTATCAATGCAACTGATGCTAGGCGTATATTGTTGTTGTTGTTAAGTGCCGTCAAGTCGGTTTCGACTCATAGCGACCCTGTACAGGGTTTCCGAGGGTGTAAATCTTTACGGGAGTAGAAAGCCTCATCTTTCTCCCGTGGAGCGGCTGGTAGTTTCGAACCGCTGACCTTAAGGTTCGCAGCCCGATTCGTAACCACTACGCTACCAAAGCTCCTTTATTCATACATTAATATAAAAACCAAACCTACTGCCATTGAGTTGACTCAGACTCACATGGACCCTAGAAGAGAATGGAACTGCTCCGTGTGGTTTCCAAGACTTTAAGTCCTTATAGAAGTTGAATGTGGCATCTTTCTCCCATGGAGCAACTGGTGGGTTCAAACCACCAAAGTTTTGGTTAGCATCTGAGCGCTGTAAGTGCTGCGATACCAAGGTCCTATACATTGCTTTATACATAGTTAAAGCAGCTACATATTTTTAGAATATAAGTTCTGATATTTCAAATACTGATGCCTTGGGGACAAGGGAAAAATACATATACTATTTATTCACTATTGTTGTATTCCATCGAGTCGGTTCTAATTCGTAGCAAACCTTTATAAGGTTTTCAAGAGCAGCTGGTGGATTTGAACTGTTGACCAGTCCACTGCTTATCCTACAGCGCCACACCAGGACTCCAACTGATTTATTAATGGTAATGTTAATGGATTTGAAATTGCTTTGAAAAATAAATATATACTTCTCACAATTGCGAGCTATTAATACTCTCCTCCATGCTGTTTCCCTTTTCCCCCCATTTAAAGAAAATTTGGGTAACTCTTTGCATCAACATCAATGATAGATTATAGCATATCCTTAGTGGTTTCCATTCTTTCTGATAGTTTAGTAGAAGCTTTGCAAAACAAAACAAAATAAACTTAAACCTGTAGATCATTTTCAGTTGTAGAATAATTATATTGTAACGTATTTATTCTGACTTCCTCCTATGAGCCTAAACCTAAACCAAAAAAAAGTTAGATTGATTGTAAGAATTATGTAGTGTTAATATTTCACCTCAGAAAGATACCACCCATTGAGGAAACTGGAACCCTTATCCATTGCTGGGAGGATTCCAAAATGGTGCAGTCATTATGGAAAACAGGGCAGCACTTCTTCAAAAGCTAAAAGCAGAGATACATTAGTGGTGGTGGTGCCATCAAGTGGCTTCCTAGTCATCGTAACTCCGTACAGGTTTTCCTGGGAGCAGCTGGTGGGCTTGGACCACTGACCTTGCAGTTAGCAGTCCAGTGCTTGTCTTCCAGTGCCATGCCAGGAAATTCCACTCCTAGGCACATACTCAAAAGATTTGGAAGTAATCTCAATAAGACACTGATGTTCATTGCAACACTATTCACAATATCCAAATGGTAGAAATAACTGAAATGCCCAGCAGCAGATGAATGTATAAACAAAATGGGGTACAAGTACACAATGGAATACTACTCAGACAGTAGGAGAATAGTTTATACTGAGGGAAGCCACAAATATTGTATGACATCACTTATATAAAAAGACAAGAAAAGGCAAATATAGAGAGACCTAAGGTTATTAGTGGTTACCAGAGGTGGGAAGGAGGGTGAAGCAAGGGTTATTGGTGATGGAAAAATCACATTTATTAAAGGAAGTTTTGCACTGCTGGTTATTGTAATTGCTATCAATAAATTGTTGTTGTTGTGTTGTGTAGTGCCGTCGAGTCAGTTCCGACCCATAGCAACCCCGTATAGGGTTTCCAAGGAGCCGCTGGTGAGCTTGAACTGCCGACCTTTCAGTTCAAATGGCTTTGCAGTCTGGCGCATTTGTACACCTGTTAAAAAAAAGAAAAGAATAAAAAAGGGCACCACAATGCATACTACGAAGAGAAAAGATTTAAAGCGTACTTTCCTAAACCAGATTTTCAAATATCAATAGGTACTTTCTCTGAGATTTATAAAATGATTCCATGGATGTTGAGGATCTATAGCATTGGCCTTTGTCAGTGACAGGTTTTTGTTTGTTGTCTCAAGGGATTCTGGGGCACAGAACAGTACCAGTTAGTAAGCATTCAGAAAATATTTCCCTGAGTAATTCAGGGTTGTTGTTAGTTTCTGTTAGGTCAGCTCTGTTTCATGACAACCTTATTTATAAGAGAATAGAACACTGCCCAGTCCTGCACCATGTCCGCACAGTCGTCTGTATGTTTGAGGCCACTGTCGAAGCTAACATGTCAGAATGTTTTCACTGACCCTCCACTTTACCAAACATAATGTTCTTTCCAATGACTGATCTTTCCTGATGATGTATATAAAGTAAGCAAGACATCATCCTCACCTCATGGTCTACCAAAACCAAACTCACTGCTATCAAGTGAATGCCAACTCACAGTGACCCTGTAGGATACAGCAGAATTGTTCCACAGAGTTTCCAAAGTTGAAAATCTTTATACAACGCAGACAGCCTCATCTTTCTCCCATGGTGGGTTTGAAACACTGACCTTTCAATTAGCAGCCCAACACCTACCCAACTGGGCCACCAGGGATCCTCACTTCATGACTGGAGGAAGAAAAATTATTCAAATCTAAGTTAGGTATGATTTCTAACAAATAAAAGCTGTAATTGCTGACTCATTTAACAACAGTTCCCTAGTTGGTAACTCTTGTCAAAAACTCAGAGATGGTCTTTTGTCTGGTAATCAAGTAGTCCCACAAGCATGGGAACCGGGATTCTCTCAGTGAGTTGGATGTTGTTTCTGATGACAATTGCTTCTTTCATAGACAGCGCAAGGATGAGCTGGAACAGAGGATGTCTGCTCTCCAGGAGAGCCGGAGAGAACTAATGGTCCAGTTAGAAGGGCTCATGAAGCTACTAAAGGTAAGACATCTCAAGTAAATATTTCCTAGCCCTTTGAGTGTGGCATTTGTAAAATGTTTTTGCACATAAAGTGCAATAATTTTTGTAAATACTATATGTCATTTCCCTAAAATGTTGTTCCAAACTCAGACATAGTATCATTTCATAGACATAGGAGAAAGTAGAATCATTTCTTGGACACAGGAGAAAGTAGAGCCATTTCTTTCACATAGGAGGAAGGTGAGCTATTTCTTGAACAAAGGAGAAAGTAGGACCATTTCTTAGATACAAGAGAAAGTAGAACCATTTCTTGGACACAAGAGAAAATAGAGTCATTTCTTAGACACGTAGAAAGTAGAACCATTTTTTTGACTCAGGAGCAAGTAGAACCATTTCTTGGACACAGGAGAAAGTAGCAGTCCATTGTCAAGTTCATTCTCATTCCCTTCTGGAGTCAAACAGCTGAGGACTTTCATAGGACTTCTTCCTGACTTATTTTCAGTTCTTTCATGCCCTTAAAAATAATAAGATTAAATTTATTTAGAAATATTTTACACTGAGTAGTTTACAGCAAGTCTGACTAGACTAGACAGAGGCTGATGTCTAACTCAGAAAATCAAGATAAAGATACAGCCATTAAATAACAATAGTGATTACAGTTTCATTCAGGGGAAAAACTCTGTTAATTTCAGTAAAATATTTTGTCTTGTCTGTATGACTTTAGCAGTCACAGGACTTTCTTGGGCCTCATATGCAAACTGGAAAGGGAACACCTTACTTTTCTGTAAGCAGAGTGTTTAATAAAATGATTTCTAGAAATGCTTTGTGTAGTAATATAATATTACCATTTTCATTGAGGAATGCCATGCTTTCTTTAAGAAAGCTTTGTTCCCTTTTTAATTATCCATAAAATTACAAGTCAAAACTAGACTAATGTTAGCGTCACATCCACACTCAGTCCAGTAGAAGTGGCAGTGAATGATGACTGCCTGTTTTTATGTCGTGCCTTACGTGGACAAGCTTGAACCGGTGGGGATTAGACATGAAACATGCCAAAGGGACACGATAGGAGCACCATGAAGAGAAAGTCCCTGGAGTAGCTCAGCTATGAGACAGGATGCCCTGGACTTCAGTTCGTGGATCCTCATCATTTGTTGTTACTATGATATTTTCTTATATGATTTCCCTCTTTCTCTCTCTTTATTTTTTCTTGACTTCTTTCTCTTGTTCATTTATTTGATTTTTTTTTTTTTTAAGAAAATGTGCTGTGTCTCAGGCTCTGCTCGCAGGGCTGTTACCCCATGAATATCATTTCCTTTGTTTCCCTGACTGTTTCACACTTTAGCCAACTGTGTCTGCCATGAGTGTCTTCTTTCACAGTCGGTGTTGGAAATTCTTGGTCTTTGCGGAATAAAATTTTACTTTTCAGTGTGTTAGACATAGAAAGTACAGAAATCAGTTTTTGTTGTACCATATACGGTAAGATAGGGCCAAATGATTACTAAACCCACAGCTGTTTTGGCTAAATCTCATTTGATGTCACACTAAAGCTCTTTCTGCTTCCATTCCCAAATACACCAAACAAAGAGGAATGACCCCACCATTCCTTTCACAGAACTGCGGGAGGCTGTGTAAACACCTTTGTCACCATAGCAGTCTATGTATCAGCAGCCATCTTGTTTACACCCAGCCCCAACCTAGAGTATAAGAATATCCTAGCTCCAGAATCCACAAGGACTGTGTTGGAAGAAAGTTAGGCACACAGAAGAATGAGATGGGTCTATAGTCTCAAATATAAATTTAATAAACTTGGAACTCGGGTCACTGAGGTACCAGCAACCTGACCAGTCCTCCAAACCATGTTGATGTCTCCCCTTGTCTCCTGTCATTTCTTCCCACTATGTGCGTGCTCTTATTGGAACCCTGGGTAATCTAACTATTATTGATTCAATCTTTCTGTAGGAAGAAGAACTGAAACAGGGAGTAAGTTATGTTCCCTACTGCAGGTCTTAACTAACAATGGAGGGGCCTGCCGTCCTGCTGTTTTTCTCATTGCTTTTGCCTCTAATGTATGTTCATGCTTCAGTTTGGAAAGAAAGAAAACAATCGTACTAATTTGCTTCCTTCTCAATGTAGTGCTTGAATTGAGATATTAAAAAAAAAAAATTAGGTTTTTTTTTTTTTTTTTTTTGTAACTGTTACTACTGTTAGCATCAAAAGAAGAGCTTTTACATCTTTTAGAAGAGGGAACAAATTGTAATTTGTTTGGAACGTTCTAGATCTCCATGAGTCTGAGTTTCAAACCAACCTCATACTTTGCTGGGCTGCTGATCAGATCCCTTTCCGAATAAAATTTACTCCTCACAATTTCTGAAGCTAACCTGAGGTGAAAGCTTAAAACATACAGCTCTCAGAAGTTAGCCTCTACAACCTCTCACACTCCAAATTTTGGTTCCATTTTAATGAAAAGATATGGAACCTTCTTTTATAAAAATTAGAAGATTAAATGCCTTGCTCATTGCATAGTGATTATACCCCTTTCGCCAAAGATCACAACACAGTCTTGTGAGAGGGAATACTGTACTTGGATCCTGACTATTGACTTTCTGTCTTTTCAGTTCGTCCCCAAAGCAGAGTCCCTACCATTGATTGAGAATAATCTCCACAGACTAGGTTACATCCAGCCTTTGTCTTATCAGTAAGAACCTTTCTGCTCTGATGGTTCACAAAATGCTTGCATATTTTGAATCTAACTATAGCCTAGTCTGGAGCCGTGTGTCTAATCCTGTGGTCAGGTTCAGAAGCCAGTAGAGGGAGTAGCACACTCAAATAAAATAAACTCGAACCAAATAAAAACAGTTTTAATTTCAAGTGCATGTACCAAGTTGTGTATGAGAATATATCCCACTCTTAAGCATTATTTAAAAGTTTGACATTATTTCCATGGATCCATTAGAACCACAGCCTGTCCTATTTCAACGTATCCTTCAATTCTTCTGTATTCTCTTTTCTATTATTCATTGTGTGTGTTTGTGTGTAACAAAGACTGTTTGCAAAATGCTGAACACATTTTTCCTTTCATTCCCATGGTATGTAAAAAAGGAAAGTGTAAAACTAATCTGTAATGTCCGACAATAAAGATAATGTATTACATTATTTTGTATTTTGTGAAGAAAATTACTTTATGAAAGTCAAATTTTGCCAAGAGATAATTCCTCTGGGTGAAGGACACACAGCATTTACAGCCTGTATAATTACCACAAAGAAAAAAAAAATGCTTACATGGGGTGTTGTCATTGTACTTCCAATACACTTAGCTCACGGTAGGGAGAGATGCTTTCCTCGTGGTCCTTCTCTTTGCTGGTTGCCTCTCTTCCTTCCTGTCTCTTACTTAGCATGTGGAGTCCAATACTCGGCTACTAACCAAAAAGGTAGAGGACCAAGTCCATCCATCATATCTTTGAAGAAAGGTCTGGCAATCTACTTCTGAAAGAGCGCAGTCATTGAAAATGTTATGGAGCACAGTTCCTCTCTGACACACATGAAGATGACATGAATTGAGGTTGCCATAAATTAGCAACTGGTTTACTTAGTATAGGATCACTGATGGTACAGTAGTTAAATGCTCAACTGGAAACTGAAAAACCAGTGAGTCAGACTCACCAGCTGCTTACTTCGGGGAGAAGGATGTGACCATCTGCTTGCGTGAAGACTTAAGGCCTTTAAAATCGATGGAGCAGTTCTACTCTCTCCTAAAGGGCTGCTTTGGTCAGAATCAACTCAACAGCAGTAGGCTTGGGTTTGGGTTACTTAACAAGTGCATACAGAGAAAAATAAAGCTCAAAGATAGCCTTCTCCCTCCTAGTGGAGAGGAGGGCAATCGTTCTGCCTATTCCCTTGGGGATCCCTCCCCTATCATTACCTAGGCAACACATTCTTGAAAGGCTCCGTGGACTAGGGAGTTTATATCCAGATGGATGCTAGAGTCAAACTATGCCATTTCCTCTCAAGTATCACAGCCTCTCTTCCTTCCAGTTCCTCCCCCACGGGACCCCTCAGTAGCTTCTGGGTCTTAGGAAGGGGACCGCCTGTATCAGTTCCTTAGTCTGCAAGTAAGCTACCTCCCAGATGTTGGAATGTATCAAAAAGGTGGTGGGAGTGTTTGCCCTTAAATGTCTGCTCACTTACTTATTTGATATTCAAGCTTCTTTCTAAAAAGGACTTAAGGCAGCGTACAACAAGTGATTTCATTCCTAAACTGGAAACAGAAAAATCATAAAGCAAGGAAAAGAAAATACAAATAGACTCATCACAAAGAACAGGAATGTACCTCCAAAGTTTCCAGCAATGGGGCAAAAAAAGGAAAACATAATCAAAACAGAAATACCAGTTCTCAGAACACCAAAATTCCTGTCGGCATAACGTATAAAAGAAAGTTTCCACTTGGAGCTTTAGAGATGGAGTTCTGAACAATGAAGCAAACAAAATATATGTGGCTATTTCTTACGCTCAACATTAGTCAAAATTATAAGGAGAATCCCAGAGATCCCAACTCCATAAAAGCAGTTCTGCAAGAAAATAAACAAATGTCATTCAAATATATAGACTTCCAGTTTTATAACATGACCTAAGGAGAGAATTTAGAGATTTTTGTTGGATATCTCCTTCTAAATTCTGTTTTTACTTATGAGCTTTGTCTCTTTGGGGACTATCTCTTTATAAAATCAAACTTAAAACACACAACAAATTGTGCTTGATTTAATAACCTCGACTTGCTTTATCATAAGTCTGTGTGGCTAAGTGTCATATTTTAATAAGCGGGCATATATAAGGCCTATATATTTTGTCTTGTTAGGCATAATGCATGAATTCATTCCCCTTGAGGAAAGAATATGACTAAACACATAAATAAATAGTGCCTGTAATATAAAAGGATGATTATGGTATCATAAGCAATAAATTCTCTTTATAAAACTTGAATTGCAGTTATCCTACCCTCTACCTTCTTTGTGTACTTTCAG